TCGGGGGGGTGAAGCTTGAATTTTAAGAATGCCTGCTGTGAATTTGTGTAACTCGAACCTTCTGAAATCTTTCATTTCAAACAGTTTGAATCTAACTCATAACCCCATGCGAGCAATGATTCTCCAAAAGAACTGCCCCATCTTCTCCAATCATGTCACCTGACTCAGCTACACATGTCGTCATGTGTCCAGAGTCCATGGCCCGACAAAGCAGGACTGTTCCAAGTGCGCAAGAAATCCGAGCAAAATATAGTCTCGTTGACGCCTGTTTCATCCTAAGAAGGTGCTATATCTATATATCTATATATCTATATCTGCTATGAAGGAACACTTTGACTCATTTGTGGAGTGGGGGATCTGAATGGAATACATTGGCGCAAGAATGCGCACAAACCCTTGGATCCCTTTGATTCTTTGGCCATCAGGAGCCTTCACAACGTCAGAGGGCACTGAATTGGATTGCTAACTCGGATGCTCCGGAAACTTGAGGGGATGATGCTTGTGCTATCCATGGCGCATCTACGTCCGGTCGCATGCAGTTTGAGAACTTAGCGCGGCATTCACGGTGCATATGATTCTCGCAGGCGCAATCCTTCAGCTAGCAGACTCTGAGACTATGACTCGAGAGAGATTGCATCCAGCAATTCTTTCGGTCCTTCCAATTTTGCGCACCTGGCTGGACGGTCGGTGAAAGCTTCTGAATTCGATGAGCCTGTCAAGGACATTCAAGGACTGCATATTGTTGCCCCGCTACTATATGTGATTTCCTGTCATTCGCCACACACAATCGGGTTCATGACTACAAGCCATCTGAAGCGTACATGGTTCGAGGCTTCAGTTCGGAGGGAACCTGTCGTTCCAGACGAAGCTCTTCAGCCAAAAGCGAAGACGACTCTTGAAACAAAACAAAATAAGACCATTGAGACCAAGAAAGCAACCATGTCTTGCTGAAATTGTGGATCATCCTGGATCTCTATACTGCCTAAAGCTAGTGATGCAAAAAGACACAGCAGGAAGACACGAGAGTTGCTTCCAACATCGGACCACTTGACAAAGCCCCAAAGCATCAAGGGCATAAGAGCGCTGTACTGGAACTGGCTTGTAAAGTCCCAGAGAACATTCACGGCTGGGACGATCATGAACAGAACCACTGCTGGAATCACCTAAGTCAATAAGATTGGGCCATCTGTGTCTAAGAGACCGCTTTGCTTCAGAGCAAGGCCTACAGCAACCTTTGTCTTTTCAATTTCATCAGGTAGGTCTAGGTCAATTCCAGTTCAGGTAACTTTGGCAGCTGCGCAGCAAAGTGTCAAGCCCCAAAAGTATCCAAAAGTCATCCACGTGGGTTGTGGCATGTGAGATTCATGACACAACTAGGTGAACAAGGCGAGCACCAAGAGAGGAATGCACTATATTTCGAAAAAGAATAAAACCTCGGCAGCTGGGAGCTCCTGCCTCCCTCAACAGCACCGCTGCTGCCAATACTGCCTGAAGTCGCTGAAGTTCAGCCAAATTCAACAAAACTGTCAGCTTCGCTTCCTGCAATCTCCATTTCCCCACTCCTACACCTTCTTCCTGGACCTCGAAAAATTGGACTAAGGCAGAGTAGGGATGGAGATCTATATAATAATGATCCATGGATGATCATGGCCTGCAAATTCCACATCTTTCCAAAGTAAGCATCATCGCTCCAGCTGTACAGGAGCAAAGCCTCAGCGCAGCTATGGCACTCCGTGGGTCTGTCTTCAATTCACAGGGGGATGCAATATGATGCAACTTCCTTTGGCTGCAGGCCAGCAAGGCAGACAAGCCTTCAAACTGCTTTCCGGCTCTTCGAGACTCCACGAGGTGCTGTCAATTGAAGGCTTGTGGCAAGAGAAACGAACCCATCCAATCAAGCGCAGTGGATACCTCTTCTTCTTGGAATGCAAACGCCACAGCCAGCAGCTTCGCTCGTTCAACTGGCACCCAAATTGGATCAAATTGGCATCTAACTTGTGCAGGGAAAATCTGTCACCAGCGAAAGGTCATCTGAAGTCATGCTGCTGGGTACTGGTTGCACACGCTGCAGGAGAGAATGTGCCGGATGACATAACCGAGCTCCAACAGAACCGAGGGTGAACTCTCCTTCCCTAGGAATCTTCTCCTTCACTTCCCTTGTCTCACCCGATGGCCATGAAATCTAGTCCCAAGAAAATCCCATTCACGACATGGAGGCCATGGCTGTCAATCAAACCTAGCGCAAACCTAGCGGGTTTGCTAGCGCTGCCTTGCAGAATTGCTGAATTTAGTTGCGTGCCGCCTCATAACGAAGAGGAAAAAACAGTATTATCAACAACCAATACTAAACTTCAAAACAACTATTTTTGACAAATGGTCATATGATTCTCGCAGGCGCAATCCTTCAGCTAGCAGACTCTGAGACTATGACTTGAAAGAGATTGCATCCAGCAATTCTTTCGGTCCTTCCAATTTTGCGCACCTGGCTGGACGGTCGGTGAAAGCTTCTGAATTCGATGAGCCCTACAAGCCGTTCACAAGCAGTTCATAAGCAGTTCATGAGTCCATGAGCAGGCTCTTGCTACAGTATGAGGAGTGGTCGATTCCATCTTGCTCTTGATTTTCTTGCTGTGTACCTCTTCTCATCCCTGACATCCCCGTTCGAATTTCAACTACAGAATGGGAGGCCTTGTGCCCCGTTTCAACGCATGTCTGGGCTTAAATTAAGATGAAAAAATGGGGATGGGCCAGGCATTTTGTACCCACCTGGACCTTCCAAAGTACAGAAAATTCTGTACGAGTGGGATTTCTGCACTTTTGGGCCGGTTGAAACGTTTAATCTTAAATGTAAACGGTTTCAACAAAAAGTGAACTCTTTACAGCAGTTCTGACTGCCACCTTAGATACCTGGGGAATCCTTTTTCGGAACTTCTGCCGAAATTGCATTTCAGCACAGGAATCGCCGAATTCTAAAATTTCTTCCGAAAACAAATAAAATTGCCGACAATTTTCAATTCTGCCCAAATGGGGTTTTCATGGGCTGTGCATATTGGTAACCAATGCTGAGTCCGGGTAATTCCGCCGAAATTGCGGGCAATTCCGCCGAATTCTGCCGACATTTTTTTTGACTTTACTGGGGCAAGCATTCAACAATCAATTCTGCCGAAATTGGTCTACAATGATGGAATTCCGCCGAAAGCCATTTTTAAGAGCGAAATCTGAAAATTCTGCCGAAATCCTAAATCGGCAAAAACTTCCATACATTTGGAGCTCTCAGGTATGGCACGGGTGGTTAAAACATCTTGCCGCAATGGGTCCCTCACAATTCACCGATTGGAATTGCTGGTGATAATGTCCATGCTTTCCTAAATTTGCAGAGTTTGTGTTGGTGATTGGAGCCCCCAAAGATGTAAAGCTTCAAACATGCAGGAATACTAAGCTATATTTGAAAATAGTTAGTTTGAAGCATGCTTAGTTTGCAGAAATAACAGTTTTCATTCCAACAAGCTGCGATTTGATGCGATTTGCCACTTGAGAGCAGGCGGAGGCGGACGAAAGGTAGGTAGTGTAGCGGGAGAGGAGTGGTGTCAAAATGCTGCGCCCCCAAGATGATACACCGAAAACGTTTTTGCGCAGTCTAAGGTGATTTTATCCAGAGCATGACTGCATGATACGGTGTCTTGTGCAGCGTGAAATGATGCACGAAAAGGGGATTATTAAAAACCCCTTTTTAAGACCCCTTGCAGCAACTGTTATTGAGGCTGAAGCAAACCAATTGCTGGACTACAGGGGCATCTCCCTCATGGTGTTTCTCAACGATTGGTCCAATTTGAACTATTTGCGGCATTTGCGGTTTTTTTGCGGTCATTTGCGGCCAAAAGCCCAAAAGTACAGAAATTATTGAACTTTGGAAGGTCTAGGCACAGCTTGGGAATTGCATTTTATAAGTTGTCAACGTTTCTTTTCTCCAACAACGCAGCCACCTCCAAGCTAAGAAACTGGGCGAAGACGGCGTAGGCGAATGCCATTTAATTTGAATGCGAAGGCTTGGAGGGTGAATCGGATGTCAGTTTGTGGGCAATATGCTGAAGACTGCTCTTTTTTAGGCGTATGTTCGCAAAGCAAAATGCATCCTTGGACAGAAAGCATCTTGGCCAAAGTAAATCAAACGTGTGATCACGTGTTTTCGGAACAAATTCAGCCTTACTTTACAGCATGTTATGTTTGTATGCCACAAGGTCCGATATTTCAAGCGATGGCACCGCCATGTGACGGCCCTGAAAAGCAGGCCTGCAGGGAATTGCCTGGCCTGCCATTTGTGTACCAAAATGGGCTATAAAATGTTGCTTGGGTGGGAAAAAATGTTGGTTGTGGTTTGGCGGAAAGGGATCCGGTGGGTCTTCTTTTCAGACACATGATGCCCGCCAGTGTAGGCGCGCTGAGTGCGAAATGCTGGCTGGTGATGCCAGGTTGGAATCCGGGGATGTCGGAATGGAATGAACTGAATGAACAGTCAAAAAATATCTTGAACATTTACAGTAAGGCAGAATGAACGAGAAATGTGCAGGGAAGCTACGTGGCAAAATCCAAAACTCAACAAATGTGTAGATCTCAGGGCAGTAATGGACAGATAAGTTGTCAACGTTTCGGTAGTTGAAAGACCTTTAAAAATCGAAAGTCATTTTGTAGCAAGAGAATTTGCCCATCGGAAGACAACATGTAAAAACCCAATCTCATTTTGTAGCAAGGGAAGTTGCCCTTCGGAAGTGTTCCCTTCAAGTAACCTGATGATAAAAACATATAAAAACCAATCTTCATTTTGTAGTGGTGGAGTGTCCCCTTTAAGTAACTTGATGATAAAAACCAATCTTCATTTTGTAGTGGTTCTAACTTGTAACTTCGCATTCTATTTGAACCATCGTTCTATCAAGATTAATCGTTCTGTCTGGCCAAACACGGACAGTTTTGAGAAGATCAGTTGTGGGCAGACTTGGCCCAAGATGAGTCACAAGCTGACACGTGTTGTGCGGCCCCCGGCCATGTCGCTGGATGAGCTGAAGGCTTATCTAGTGTCTCAGCACCCCGAGCTCGCGGAAGACCCAAAGCATCGACCCCATGCAGTTCACGATTGTGTGGAGGTCTTCGGTCAGTCGGGGGCTATTCAAAGTGGCTTCAGGAAATATGGTATGTCAGCGGCAGCTTTCGACTACAGAGTCTTGGCTGTCAGTTTCAAGAATTCATGGGAGGGGCAAGAAAAAAATGACTTATGATTACCACCATCAGTGCAAAGTAGCCTGCTCTTGCTTTTTTTCAGGATGAAAGCAATCGGGTGGGCATGAGGATGCAAGCAGGAGGTGCTGGTGTGATTATGGAAACAGTTGCTCGCGCTGGGGCCAGCTCAAATCCTAGGATTCTTCTAGCTATATGTTCTAAAGGGTTTGGATGTGTTGAGTAGGTGACTCCCTAACCTGTATGTTCTATTTTTTGTTCTCTCGCGTTTGTTGCTCGCCTTGAGGACTTTCTCCTGAGCACAATGTGCACGAAGTGAAGGGCCTGAAGATCCTCGCCAACCTGTTGTACGAGGCGAAGGTTGGAGCCTTGATCTGGCTTTCACCCAATTGCTCAACATGGGTGTGGCTGAGTCGGGGAAGCACTCTTCGGGGTCTCGATGCTAGGCCAAATAGTTGTTTTAGAACATGATAGGGGGGAAACTTTGTGTGACAAATTGGATTGAACTTTGATGCTGGGATCTTCGTTCAAACCCTTGTTGCAAAATGTTTGCATGGAAACTGGTTGCAACCATCACACTGTCAAACCCATTGCTCAGGAGCTGTGGGGGACTTCCAGTTCCAAGCCAGTTGTGGTTGGGAATGCCAAAGCTGAAGTCACAACGACCGTTGTCATGCCGTTGGCAGAGTGGCTTGGGCTTGAGGATGCTACAGAGCAGCCTGACAGCAGCCTTATGCTGAAGTGGCCTGGTTTCTCGGCCTTCCATGCCGAGAATTAGATTTGTGTTGTTGGCTGGGGTCGGCAAATAATAGTTGCAATACTACAATAGGTATTTCCAATCTATGTATATCATGCCATTTGTGATATATATATATATACATATGTGTTTGTCAAAGCATACCCAGATCTAATTAAATTCCCATAGCAATATACATGCAATATATCAAGATATGAACAGGTGCCAGAAATAAAAACAAATAAACAAATAAATACAAATATATAGACATATCTTTACATATATATATATACACATTATATTAGGTGTGTACATGTATATGTGAAAGTGTAGTCCCTGGGGTCCTGAAATTATTTCAGTTTTGCGTGTCCAAAGAAACTTGCGGACACTTGAGGCTATGAGGAGTGGATGCGAATCTTGGATGAGAGGTATGCCCTCTACAAGACCCGAGTGAAGTTGGGTGCCTTCGGAGGACTGAGCTGGAAGGGCCTTAAATTGGCTGGTGCTTGGGGAGGCATTGAATTGCTGGAGATGGTGTACCAGCTTTTGTGGCCGCACATGTGTCACCGCCAGTTTGTGAAAATCTCCCAGCCGAGTGGAAAGTGGTTTGGATAACAAACTTGATTTTCCCCAAGTAACACTACGGTGAATCATCATCATCATCGCCACTAAGTCTATATCAACAAAGATATATTGGGTAACATCATTGAATCATGGTCGTTAGCATCATCACCATCATCACCATCACCAACACCACCATCATCATCATCATCGTCATCATTATCATCATCATCAACATCATCACCATCATCATCACCACCACCATCATCACCATCACCATTACCATCATCATCATCATTATCATCATCAATGTCTTCATTATCATCCCCATGATCATCATAATCACCATCATCATCATCACCATCATCATCCTCACCATGATCATCATCATGATTATCATCATCATGATCATAATCATCATGTGTGTCATCATCGACGTCACCATCATAATCGTCATCAACGCCACCAACTCTATATTAACATAAAGATTGAACAACATCATCAACAACATCAACATCAACATCATCGTCGTCATCATCATAATGAGCACTTGTTTTATCATCAACGTCATCTTCATCACCATCACCAACACCATCATCATTATCATCATCTTCTTCTTCATCATCATCACCATCATCATAATCATAATCATCATCATCACCACCTCCTTCATCTTCATCTTCATCTTCATCTTCTTCATCATCATCATCGTCATCGTCATCGTCATCGTCCTCATCATCAACATCACCATCACCATCATCACCACCACCATCCCTTCATTAACATTTAAATATATATATATATACTGATTAACATCATTATCATCGACAACATCATCATCAGTAACAAGTGTCTTGAAACACAACACTATAGTGACATATATTGGATGCTATTCCCTTTCATTTCTTGGGCAAACAATGGTGTTGATGCGCAACCCTACGATGTTTGTGGGAAGGGGAATATTGAATAATCATTGAGATATGGAGGGTTAGGGTTTCCCATAAATGTCTCCACTCGAGTTTTCCTGCTCGCCTAGGTGGATCACCTCGAACCATTTGACCCAGTTCAGCGCCCTTTACCCTGGTGACTTTGGCGATTGCATTGCATGGGCCCACAAGGTGAAGAATGAGCTGGCGCACTTCGCCTTTATGGGTGAGGCTGAGCTCTATGTTGGTTCGCTGGTGATTCGTGGTTTCCCCTCGGTTCAAGAGGTGGTGCATGCTGCTGAGGAGGGACATTCAGTTCCACCCATGTCCTGGTCAACCAATCCAATGAAAGAACCTTAACTTTTTATCCCCCAAGAGTCCATGGGGCATTAGGATCTATTGAACCCATGAAAACAAGTTCCATTGGCGTGTGAACCCCTGAGCAGGAGAAGTGCAAGTCAATGGGTGGTTCCATTGACACTGACCCTGGCTGGGAGGATGCAGATCGCTGGGTCACTGCCCCAATTCCTAGGAAGGTTGTTCGACAGTGGCTGAGAGAGAAGCGAGAGCGTGTCGAGGATGAGGCGCACGCTAGGAAGGTCCAGAAGGGGATCAAAAAGAAAGGGTCCCCACGAAAACAGGAGAAACAATTGAAGGGTCCCGGTCCCAAGACAGTGACCAAGTCTTGTGAGAAGACCACCAAAGTTGAGAACACCAGCAAAACATCGAGGATGGGGTTGTTAAAGAGATGGTTTGGGGCTTGAGGTGCTCATCCGTAACCATTTTGAATCTAAATCACCCCTGAATCTGTTTCCAAGTTTATCTCAAGCACATTTTGTTTAGTCTTGCCTGCGCAGGACTACCCGTGGCTCAGCCAAGCACATTAAGGACAAGCAGTCCCAAGTGGCTAAGGCCAACGTGAGCACAGCAACAATCTGGGAAGTTTCTTTTCTGCATGTCTGCGGCTGTGGTAAAACTCCTCTAGTCCTAGCGCTTGACTTATTTCAAGCACTGTGAAAACATGCAGAAGGTGATACCAAGGTTTGGACCAACACCTCAAAACTTCAAATCTATGGGTGTTGGTTTGGGTCAATTCAAACACTTTTTCCATCCTAGGCTCTGCACAAGGGCGCTGCTCCATGACCTGATGATCAATTCTAGTCGAAGCTGAGGCCTGATTTGTTTCTTTTTGGCAAAGCTGGAGACTGATAGTCGTTTGGATTGTAGTATGTTGGCCACGGTGTCAAAAGATTTATATATACATACTTAAATGAATAATAGTATATATACATCACTATGTTAATATATTTATGTATATATTTATATAGTATATATCAGGTGATCTCAGACGAAGATGATAAACACTATTAATGAATTACTATGACAAGTGTTCATATCTTACTTAGCGCTAGCCCTCAGCTTCCTTTGCAGGCTATTCCTATGCAAGCGAGATGCGCAGAAGTCTTGGCGTGGAGGCGGGCAGTTTTCTCACAAAATCCAAGAACAACATTGTAGTCAGCATAGCCGTTCTAACCATTGGACCATGAACTTTGTTACAGGAGTAAAGAGGGAGTGCGAACATGTTCTTTTCTCATCTTGACAGTGTCAAAACATAACTTGTTCCATCAATCTTTGGAGGGAACTTATCCTTGGGGGAACTTGCAGCAAATGGGAATTGGAAGAGGTATCTTGAATTCAGACTACCTTAGCTTTAGTTTTTCAATTCGTGATAAACACCAGGGTCTAAAATACTTCCATTTGTTTTCCATACTACCCAACTCCAACCCCAACCCTTGAGATACATTTAGACCCTTTGGATCTCAAAAGGGAATTGTTCCATGTCCCCTCAAGCAGCGCCATCGCGCAGGTTTGCCTTCACCTTGGCCATTGGATTGACGCTGATGAGAAGATTCAGCAGTAGCCCGAAAGGAGGACGCAGGTGGCATTGGCTCTTAATTTATGACCAGTTGAAATCCCCCAAAACAAAACGACAAGGGAAACATACCAAACCTGATGTGACCTTGAGTACGTATTCTAACGTTGTCAGATGTCATTTTGGATCTCAAAATGCTACCCGGTTGCAGGTGCCAAATTCTTTTCCAACCTTAATTACAAATGATTATCATTCCTGCAGGAATCCCTGCAAGAATCAAATTTGTAGCATTTTGCAGCTGCAGTTTGGTCGATGTGGCCTTTTGACAACCAGAAAGCCCACAAGGAGAAAAGATTCTAATAGCTCTCGCCGACGCTGCCCTGAATGTCTTTGCTTGTCACCTTGTTCTACATATCTTTGAGCGCCCCAATCAAATAGGAAATGCTACTCTTTTGTTCATTGGGACACCCTGCACTTCCTATTTGATTGGCACCCATGAGATACTGACATTCATCCGCAATTGTTTGGTGCTCAGAAATCTTTTGTAGGGATCCAAACTTACCTGTGCAATGGGCAAGTCTAGTAGGAAAGCTTCCAGCAAAAGGGACCAGAAAACCAAGAAAGACCAGAAGTTGAAAAAAAAAGGGAAGAAGAGTTCATCCTCTAGCTCTTCATCGGGCACAGCTGATTCCCAAGCTGCAAATGGCACTTCTGCAGCTGCTAGCTTTGGTCTGAAACTTATCTCAATTACTCATGGTTGCCGTGATTTTCAAAAGCTCTAGGACCAAAGGGTTATATTTGGCAAAACAGTTTGCTATGTTCTGGTTTTTCCGATATAAGGATACCTTACTTGAAACCATGTGAGATGTAGAAATAGATTGGGAAATTGTCAGGGCATTGCGTTATGAACACGAGTCGTGATAAAGAAATTATAGGGAGGCCATCTCAAGACTTCGATTATCAAGTCATTGCTGGGGTTCATCATACCTGCAATTCGAAACATGGCTCCATGGACAAGATTTTGTTTGGTATATCTTGGGTGTGATTCAAGAATTCGAAACATAATTCAGTCATGTTTGTTTGTCTGTTTGCCTGTTTGTCTGTTTGCCTGTTTGTCTGTTTGTCTGTTAGTCTGTTAGTCTGTTAGTCTGTTAGTCTGTTTGTTTCTTTGTCTGTTTGTCTGTTTGTTTGTTTGTTTGTCTGTTTGTCTGTTTGTCTGTATGTCTGTATGTCTGTTTGTCTGTTTGTCTGCATGTCTGATAGTCTGTTTGTCTGTTTGTCTGTTTGTCTGTCTGTTTGTCTGTTAGTCTGTTTGTCTGTTTGTCTGTATGTCTGATTGTCTGTTTGTCTGTTTGTCTGTTTGTCTGTCTGTTTGTTTGTTAGTCTGTTAGTCTGTTAGTCTGTTAGTCTGTTTGTCTGTTTGTCTGTCTGTCTGTCTGTTTGTTTGTTTGCTTGTATCACAGCACTTCTGCCATCCAAGCAGCCGGCTTCAGGAAAGCCAAGAGCCTGAAGCTGACCTCCAAGCATGTGAAGATCTCCGACCTTCGCTGCGCACACGTTGCCACAATTTTGGCGTTCCAGCACGGGTCTCTCTCTCCACAAAGTCTGATGACAGTTGGGGGTGAGTGCTACGAACTTCGGAAACATTCCCTCAACAATCTCAAATTGACAGAGTCCACCCGAGCACTGGAATTGCGAGTTGATTTGACAAAGGAGGTTCATCACTACGAGAAAAAGTGGAGGGACAGACTTCTCAACCTTTTGGAAGCAGGATGGGGTTAGCTGCTGAAACACAAAGAAATTTTTGTAACCTCCTTATAAGTTATAGGGTTCATGACGGTTCTTCTCTCTTGAATACCTATCGTTCCAAGTTGAAAATTTGAACCCTCTGCAGTCTCCGGGCTACACGACTTGAGTGTCATCTCTACGCACCGCAGCTTGCTGTCTTTGCGCAGGATGCAGGGGCACTTGGGTCACATGTCTGTTCTTCCCTTGGAGGTCTCATTTATTTCAAGACCATCAAGTACCTTCCCCATTCTCTTTCTCATAAATAAGACAATCCTATAGATCCATTTTTATAACCTCATATTTCAACATTTGTCAAATTGTTGGTCGTCTCATACAGGAATTCTTTTTGCAGGTCTATATGATCACCCACCGAAACTACTTATGTAATTGTCACCATTCCATTTTCACCCACCGCTCTGAACTTGCAGGACAGTGGCCACTGAGCTCAAGGAAAGGCTCGAAAATCCAGACACAGGTGCCCAATTCCTGGTGAAGCTCAAGCAGAGCATCAGTGATTTCAAGGAGGACGCCAAGCAAGACATGAAACGAATTGAATCATCGAGACATGATGGTGATGGGGATGGGTCGACCACTACCCCGGGTACAAAGGGCCTTGGCCGCAGACATGGGAGCAAGCGCCCCAAAAAAAAAGGCCCATCTGATGATGGATCAAATGACTTAGGGTCTGATGACGATCAGCAATCTGATGATGATTCTTCTCGTACTTGGCGACTTCAAGATGCTGAGAGTGAACAAGAGCGCAAAGAGTCGAAGGAAAAGAAACGCAAGGAAATGCAGGATACCAGTGTTTGATGAAATTCCCAATCTTAAAACATGTTTCCAACCCACAAAGAAATACAACGCATGTTTTTGGTTCCATCATTTTCCAACCGCTTGCGCCAGGAGTACCGATATGATGGCACCCTGGATGGCGTTCGCGTTGGTCGGTTTGCCCCCAAGCCACGTCTGGGGACAGGCACTGATGGCACTAGCGAACCAGAGAAATCCCCATCCAACCAGCAGAACGTGATGGAAGACAAGATGATCAGCTTCTTTCAAAAAGAACTCAACTCATCCTTCAAACAGTTGGGGGAGCAAAGGCTTTTCATCAAGGTCTGCATTGCCGAAGGTATCGATACCCTGCTCAATTTGATTCATTTCTTCTATGTCTAAGATCTAAAGAAGCATATCACATGGGATCGGCATGAGACAAGCTTCCTGTGTCACATTATGTGAAAACAAATGACCCATAATTTGTGACACTGGCCTTGTCTAAGGAAACGTGCAATGACCTACTGGATGCAGTTGAACATGGCTGGACACCTTCGGTACAGTCTGTGGGCCAGGCAGCAAAGGAAGTCTTACTCTTGATGACTTGGATTGCTCGCAAAAATGGAGAATCGTTTGCCAAGGCTTTGAAGGAAGATCTAGCAACTAGGCAGAGTGGAATTCCAATAATCAAATTATAAATATGGATATAACTGATACAACCATCATTTCAGTTCTAAATTTGAACAAGAGCAGAGACTTAAGCACTCCAAACACCTGAGATTCCTCTTCATCACCAAGGGTCCTTCGACAACCCTTTTGCCTTTCTGCAGCTCAGGCCAACCAGCGACAGCGTTGGGAAGAGTGCGTGAAGGTTGCAGGAGCGACCTGTGCCGAGAAGAAAGCGGAGGAGCCCCCAAAGGCCAAGGAGGGTGAGCCTACACCCCAGCCGGGGGGGCTGGCCAACATGAACCTCGAGGATGGTCAGGATGATCTTGACAAGTGACCCTTTGAGCTGTAGAGACTTTTCGTTTCGTCAGACTAGGAAACCCTGCTGAGTTTGGCTGCATGGTGAAGTTGTAAGTCTTCTCTAAGAAACAGAACTTCAGTCTGAACTGATTGATGGCAGCCGTACTCCTATGACTGTAGGGACGAAACAGTTTTGGATCCCCTATATGAAACAAGCAGCACCAATTGCCTGACCGAGAGAAAACAACAAACCATGTCTACTGTGAGTGCTGGTCATCGACTTTTTTGTGCAAACAGCTTAACATATCTATAACTACTGTATGACAATGTTTCTTTTGGAGGTTTAGCAGTCATGCAGGTATCAGAACATTTCTTTTCGAACTACAGTATGCACGAATTCTATACCAATGTATCTTGAAACATAAATCATCTCGACTGCCATTGATTCCTGACCAGTGTTTGGTTTCCAGCTGGCACCCCATCAAAGATCTATCTACCTACCTGCTCTAGCCATGCCAGAGCCTTGCGACCTCGTGATGGTGCTAGCTGAATTTCTTATGATGGCACAGTCAGCGACGTCCTATTTCATCGACTATGACAGCAAAATGGACATGTTTGAAATGACCAGGGAGTTCTGCAGGACAGTGGTCAACCAGTGCCGGGATGAGAACGATAGGGAAATTTACATAGCTTTTGAAAATTTCTGGATTGCCCAGACCAGGGCTATGTGTGGCAAACCAGGGTCTACTTCCATCGGGCCAAATAGCATGGGGCAATCCAAGTGTCTTCCTTTGGCGTCCATCCTAGAGGTAAACCCCTACATGAAACAAGCTCTGAGGCGCGAAATCCCGGTAATTCAGGCTTTTGTGGACAGGCTGCTCAAAATTGCGGCAGACCACAAGAGCCCTGCTGACGTCCATGCTTCCTTGGTGGCATTGCAGAATGCGCTGACCAAAACACAGGAGGTCTTGAAATGATTCCGGCATCAAGGAACATTGACCACCGAGACTTTTAGAAGAATTTTTTGAAAAGATGAATGGTCTTGGTTTGAGACAGACCATGGACTAGCAAGTGCCATAGAAAAAATGAACACATTGCGTAGACTGGTTCCCAGGACACAAGTACCACAACACCCGGGTTTCCTCGCATGTGTATTCCCAAAAAAAAACCAACTTCTCTGGGGCAGGTTTTTCTCTCTTCCTTTTGGGGTGGGGTGGGGTGGGGAAAAGGAGCGCCATCGTTCTGTGTGAGCACCATCGTTCTGTTTGAGCACCATCGTTCTGTTTGAGCACCATCGTTCTGTGTGAGCACCATCGTTCTGTTTGAGCACCATCGTTCTGTGTGAGCACCATCGTTCTGTTTGAGCACCATCGTTCTGTTTGAGCACCATCGTTCTGTTTGAGCACCATCGTTCTGTCTGAGCACCATCGTTCTGTTTGAGCACCATCGTTCTGTGTGAGCACCATCGTTCTGTTTGAGCACCATTGTTCGTTTTGAGCACCATCGTTCTGTGTGAGCACCATCGTTCTGTGTGAGCACCATCGTTCTGTTTGAGCACCATCGTTCTGTTTGAGCACCATCGTTCGGCAACGAAAATCTTAATAGAATGATTCCCAGACAGAATGTGGAGTTTACCAAAAAACGCTAAAAAACCAAGGTTTTGGGGTGCAACAATCGTTCTATCTGGAATCGTTCTATCAAAATTTTCGCAGCTGAAGGAGTTTTGGCGGTTCAGGGGGGGGGAAACCAAGACAGAATGATTCCTAAACAGAATGCGGGATTTAGAATTTATGTAGTTTATTGGTCAAAATTCAAGAATTGGGTTCCCACAGATATAGGTCTAGGTTTAGTATTAAGCATCCATGTATTGGGGTACCTATAATTTTGACCCGTCCCCATGGAAAAAGGAGATTTATTTTTTTCTGTGTTGATGAATGAGTCTCGGGAACAGAGCCTCTGCGTTGTGACAGTATTGCATGCTGACCATGATAACTGGTTTTGTGTTTTGCGCTGCGATTTACGATCAGGGCTAGATTTTGTAGTCCCGGAGACATGGGAAACACAAAGCCACGCCGCTCCAAAGATGACGTGGACTACAAGGTCAAAAGGGCTCGATCATGTGATCTCCCTAGCACTGGTTCTAGCTCCAGTGCCGCTGCTGACCCAGTTGCCTCAGGCAAGCCAGTTGCAGCTCCTTCCATTGCCAGCGAAGTCATCAACCTCGATGCCGCAGACTTGGAACTGAATGGCCCCAACCAGGTCCCAAATGATAAAGATGATGATGATGATGATAAGTGCACCACCCTTCTAGTTCCTGGTTTCGGTGACCCTCCCACGCGACACATGACTGTGAAGAGGCGTAGATGGTCAACCAAATACACCATGAAAGAGCTAGAGCGAATGGTAGAGCCCGGCTTCTTTGAGGGGGACAGACTTCATGATCCTGAATGTGAATGCTTCTCCTGCCAGCTAGTCTGGGAGTAAGCTGAAATTCATGGGTGTGAAATTTGCAAATTCAAATCTGCTTTCTTAGAATCAGATCATACTAATTCAGATACAGCTCAAAACGAGCAATTAAGCTGCTTCGACGCTCGATGCTTGGTGCTCTCTCCTCTTTGGAAAAAGACTTAGCACTGTGCATTTCAAGGTTCAACGTTTTGATTCAACATCAGGGTCTGCTTTGCAAAATGCTGCGACTTGGAACACAGGGATATGAATCTCAAAGGAAGTCTGTGAACACTTACACTACCAACCAAACTAGCCTGTGATGAACTGTGGGATGGTCTACAGCATACATGCCACTTGGTTCATTGGCTCCTAGGGTAGTGAGTAGTGTGTTGCTCCATCCTACTGCACCGGGTGGCAGTGGGCGCGGGCAGCGACATTCCAAGTCATGATTGTGCCCTTTGGTGACCGGGGTGCAGCTGCGCGACAGATCCCCGATCTGGAGCCAAACCAGTTTGCGGGGCTATATTGATGGGGTAACCAACCAAGGATGATATTGTCTTATTCAAACTTGAAGTGAAACTTTACTAATTAGTAGCCTGCGTCATTGATGCAAGGAGCAGTTCGAGCAGGAGCTGCGAAGGAAGCTGAGCAATGTGCCTCAAGTCTTGAGTGAGAACCCCGCGGAGGAGCTGGCCAGGTTCACAGCTTTAGTGGAGGTTCGGGAAACAATTGCCGAGAGGTGGATGGATCTTTTGAAACGAAAACCTTCGCTCCCCGAAGCCTTTTTCCACCGACTGGTGGAGGAAACAAAGGCAACAGTGGCCAACTTCGTTGAGATCCATCATCAGGAAATTCCATTTTGCATTGACCCTTTCGAGAAACAGCTCATGAAGACCCTGACAGACCCTTTGCCCCACGATTCGTCCTCGTCAACTGCAGAGAAAAGTGGTGCCAGCCAGAGCGGTTCCAGTGCAGCCACTGTCGTGCTCCCGCATGAGTTCCAATTCCTCGTGAACCAAAAGTCTGTTTGGTCAGTCTGCAAGGCAGGTATTCTTCTTCTTGAAGTGTCCGATAAACTATCCAATCATGGACCCATATCTATCATCAACTTGACTATGTATATATACAGTAGATTCAGTAGATGCTCTAAGGATCCCATCATATGAATCCAGTTCAATTTCTGTGGTCAATTTCTTTGCCGAAACGCCACTTTATTTACCCACTAGGTGCAAGAAGCTGTTGCCGTTGATGGCTACCGGAGCTACTGCAGCGTTGCTGAGTGGTGGCCTTTTCGAACAAAATTTACGCAGTGGTTTACGAAGTCCTTCGAGCAACAGCTGCTGCCTTTAGCCAGCGACATGATGGTGAGCCCTGGACATGTACCTTGATTGTATTCATTTGGAGAAAAATGATATGTGACACAAATGAAAATTCTAAGAGGCAACGATGTTCATTGGTTTCTTCCCACCATGGCTCCCTAAGGTGATTCGTAGATGTGTCTACAAGGGCAACATGGCTGTATCTGAACACAAGTTGCCAGTTGATGGAGCGACCAGCTTCGGCATCCTTCTGGTAGTCGGGACACTGCTGCCTTCGAAGAACCTGACCCAGGAAGCTCTCAAAGCTTGCCGAACTTTGATGGGGACCCTAGAGGAGCACGGGAAGCTCACTGAACTCTCTGTCATTCTTTCCGGACGAAAGGAGGTCAAGTTGCAAGCAAATGCTGATGGCAAATTTAGTGTCAAAGACTTGACGCCCATCATGAAAAGGTTGGACATAAACAGCGCAAGGTTTCTCAAATCTGTTGGAAGAAAATCTTTGAGAATTTCCCCTTGATGTTTTCAATTCTTTTGTGGCTGGTTCCTCGGAGTCTGAGCATCTTCAGGTTTCAAAAGAAGCTCCCAACAGAGTGTGCGGACGTGACCGCTGGGGAGATCTTGCAGAGCCTTTTTCGATTGCGTAGTTGTGAGCAGTCTACTGGTTTCAAAAATCTTCTACTTCGACTATCCCATTCATGGGCTCAGATGGTGGAAACCAATATCGAGAAGGCTCTTTCTCCGCAATGTCCAGACCCAACTGTTCAGGCCCGAGTTCACCCCTTCATGCAGTCAAGTCGCCGGCGAGGTTCGAAAGCCTTGGAGCAGTCTCTCCTCCTCAAGTTCCAGTCAAAGGGGGGAGGATACATCAGTGGCAAGGACATAAAGAGTTTGGAGGACCTGGGCATGGCTGCTTCTAGCTCAAGGCTGGGGAGTAGAACATGTGCCGAGTTCACAACAAGAATACTTGTCAAAACAGCTGAGTTCATGCAAACCCAAGATAGTCGAATCCTGAACTTCTGCTTCGACACTGCTCACGTGTCCGACGAGCATGTGGCCTGAACATCGACTAGCAAATTGTGAACCTTTGAGAAGTCTAGCGTGTGTGTGTGTGTACAAAAACTCTTATTATACTGTTATATACTATTGATATCGCATTTGTGATGTAAATCTATCATACTATCGAGGCCACATATTCTGTATATATACATACAAATTGTATATGTAGATGGAAAAGTATAAATCATAAATGGCCAAGTTCTCCATGGGCCCAGGTTCTTTCAGTGGTCTTCCGTTCAAACAATGTCCAACTGGCTGCTGCTACTCAACTTCTACCTCAAGGCTTGTCAAAAGAACAAGGTTCTGCAGCTTTGGTGGCCATGGGAGATGCAATGGGGGGCGTGGTTCACAAACCAGGACATACAGCCCCCAAAAGATGTTGGGCTTGGCAAGAGTTTCGGACATCAACCAAAAATTTGTTGATGGGCATAGCAAACTCGTTGAAAGTGGCAATGCCATCCGACTGGAACCTCTCCAAGACAATCCCAGTCCGAGCATTGGTCCCCAGAAGTTCCAGTGTCGATCGTATCCCTTTGATACGGTCGGAAAAGCTGATGCTGAACTTGGACCCTGAGATGGAGTTCTACTGCTGCCACAATTTCAGCAATGGGGCTCGGTGGAATGACTGGTATGAAAACGAAGACCATTACAAGTTGGTTTTCAGTGCTGACGAGGGCACAGAGGCTACTGGATAGAACGTTTTCTTTTCTAATTTATCCCACAGGTTGTCGATGGATGCACACAGACTTCTTTCATCAACAGACATTTTTTTTGGAGCATTCCCCAACCACACGCATATAAATCGTAAATAATGAATACTGTCAACATCTAGCATCTATGGTATGTGGCCCCCTGCCATGTCTTTTTATTTCCGCACTCGTGCGGAGAATCCCTGCAGGGATTCATTGCTTGGTTGCATATGCAGAGTTGCAGCATGTACACCCTCTTCTGGCCTGACATGCTGCATCTGATTGCTCGCCGAACCGCCATGACACTGGTGAACAGCGGCGGGGCCACTTTGGTGAAGAAATTGAACCGTTTGTTCCGGATGTCAAGAGGTCCCTGGGCAACTTCGAAATTTGGCAAGCAGGTGCAAGCTAGCAGGAACCAGATCCTTGCATCGCTCAAATCAGGTGAGCTTCCAGACTCCATGATCCAAGCGGTTTTGCCAGGATGCGCTCGCGATGCTGGTCAGCCTCTGAGCACCTTTGGAACTCATGATCTTGCTGGTCAGTTTCTGTCCAAGTCAGGACTCGTTGTTTCTGGAAAAGATGTTTTCTAGTCAAAGCATGTGGACATGAGGAGAGCTACCTTTGTGACATATGTCCCCGGTTTTTGTTTTCTGCAGTCAATTTGAATTCGTGTGAAATAAATAATGGCTGCAGCTTCTGCTTCGCAGCAGGAAACGTCCACCTGAACCCCACTGTTCACAAAGATACCCGGTGGTTCTCTTTTTACGACCACAGTCTGTCTCTTGATGCGGTGTGGCATTCGGAGCTGCTCTCTCACAGTTTCAACTGGTTTTCACAGGGAACAAGCCCCTGGTCTTTGAGCAGTGAAGGAGCAGACACAGGCAATGAGAGCTACAGCAGCCGTGTGTTTGCCTACAATGTTCTTGACCTGGAACTTCAGTCCTCTTTTTATTTGCTTTCCCCCCAAGACAAAATCTTTGACCAGGAACATTCTAGTTGTTATTCTCGAGTTGCGTCCTCCACAACACAAGGTTCTTGCAGATGACACCAACCAGGACATGATGAGGAGCTTGCTGGTGGTGTTTCGACCCCTTAGGGCCTATGCTTCGCAATATGAGCCTTTATCTATGTATTGACAGTGGTTTGGTTATTTACGAGGCTGTTGCTTTCATTTGTCCCCGAAGTTTGTTTTTGGGACAGCAGTCGGTTGGACACACTGAGGACAGAGACTTGCAAAGGTACAGCAATGCAAGCGTGAAGCATGCACTGTCTTTGGTCTCTGGCAAACGTGTTGTCAACTTGATCAGGAAGCTTGGAAATGCCCATGTTCTCCATTAGTTTTGAAACCATTTGACCCTGAATGTTTGGCTGGGGTCATCGTTTTGGAATGTCAAGACAATGGACCGTCATATTCAATACTGAAGGACAGTGTTGGCTGAGTCGACAAGCCTGGAGAAATTGGAGTACATGAGTGCCATTGGCGATACTCCTGAGAATGAGGATGTGCTCACCTTTCACTCCTTGCTTCTGCTTCATCACTTGGCAGCCCTGCGGCAGCTCAATGTCTACCATCGTGCTGTGCCTTGGAAGCTGCTTGGCTTCCTTGACGCAACTTCCTGGGACATGCTCCTTGGCGAAATGGAGGAGGAGTGGGCCTTTGTGCTGGCCGTTTGCGACACCTTGGATTCCAAGCAGAGCTTGTATCACGACATGGCTGTGACACGGCATCAATGCTACAGAGATATGATGACCAAAGCAGAGCACCTTCCAATCTGATTTTCGCACGAGTTCATTTCCGCCGTTTTGTTTTTAACTTTTGGACCACCAGCAAAGAACAAACTTTTAATCTATATAGTCCTTTCAATTTTACATTCCATGGGCCAACATCTTAGGCACTTCAAGTTTGACCCGTCCAGGATGGGTTCAAAGGATTCTCTCAAGTTCGAGGAGGGTGTGAAGGCAGTGTGTGGCCTTCAGGGGTCAACTCCAAATTCGCTTCTGAGCTCCCTGCCTTGCGAGTTGACATTCAATTCGCTGCGGGACTCTGCCAGAAGGCATTCCAAACAAGAACGGCAGAGCCCTGCAGCAATGCACTGCGTGGCATGGCAATCAGCAGTCAAACATGGATTCGGCTGCGAGTCCATTGAGCTGACGCATGAGGATTGGGCCACGCCCGTTGGAAAAGGAGCAGTGAAGAGTTGCATCCACAGCAGCCTTCGAACAACAGCCAGCGAAATGGGGATTTCATGCGAGGGTCTCACAAAGCACAGAACCAACCGGCAGTACACCAAACCCCATGTCTTCACCATGCGCTTGGACTTGTTGTCAACACTTAGCCAAGTGTACAAGCAAAGCATGGGTGAAGAGAGCGATCGAAAGGCTGAGGTCGTGGACATGCACTCCAAGCTGTGGATTTCGAAGCTCTTCAATACTGGCACTTTTGTACGACAGAAAGGTGAAAGCGAAAATCCAACTACTGCATGCTTGGTGGTTCGAGGAGGCCCCCACACTGTGCAGTGCCTTCAAGTTGAGGCTGCAGAGATCGGGTACAAGGTGGACCCTGCAAAGGCATCCTTCGATGACAAGATCGTGGTGAAAATTGACAGTCACGAGATTGCCCTTTGCCAGCCCGCTGTCAACGATCAGCTGGTTTGGAAGAGGACATCAGGATGGATGTCATTGGCTTGCTACGTGGCAGATCACTCGATCCTTCAGATCAGTGCTTCGCTGCTCTCGTCTTTGTGTGCAAAAATGCGCTTGCAGGGGCATGCGAGGCTCGATCACCGCCACAGAGTGGAACTTTTCCTTCGGCATCTCAACAGGGATGAGGCCTACATCAACGAGACCCTTGCTCAGCTACCAGAGACAAAGCGCAAGAAGAGAAAGGCCACAGAGGAAGATCAGGAGCTGAACCATTTCTGTCGCTTTGTGCTTCTGTTTGCTTGTGTCTGAATCCCTTGCAGGTACAATGCTTCTTGTTTTGAGAACTTTGTTCACCGGCTTGAGCAACCAGAGACCAGAAATGGACACCACAAAAGGAGTAAAGGAGAATCAAACTGTTTTTCTTCACCGAGAGCCAGATCCATTATTCCCTAAAATCATTTTGTTTCCACAAGATCCAGCATGACCTTGTTGCTTTGTAAGCTTGGGCTAAGTAGTTGGACCACAGCTTATAGCCGCCGGTGGGGTGGGTTGGGGTGGGTGAAAGGGGGTTCGGGGTGTGTGGAGGGAGGGTGGGGTGGGGTGGGGCAATATTGTTCATAACACGCACGTTCTGCTACCCAGGAAGATCATCTCTTACACCATCACACACATGTCCTGCGCACTAGAAGATCTTTTCCTACACCATCACACGCACGTCCTGCTACGCTAGAAGATCTTCTCTTGCATCATCACACACATCCCGTTCGCAGTAGAAGATTCCAGCTTGCACCATCACACACACACACACACTTCCTGCGACGCTAGAAGATCTTCTATTGCACCATCACACACACGTCATGCTATGCTAGAAGATCTTCTCTTCCACCATCACACACACACACCTCCTGCTACGCTAGAAGGTTTTCTTTTGCACCATCACACACACGTCCTGCTATGCTAGAAGATCTTCTCTTCCACCACCACACAGACACACACACACACACACCTCCTGCTACGCTAGAAGGTTTTCTTCTGCACCATCACACACACGTCCTGCTACGCTAGGCGATCTTCTCTTGCACCATCACACTGTCCTCCTGCTACGCTAGAAGATCTTCTCTTTGAGACATCACGGCTAAACACCTTGCTGTAGAAAGTAAAAGTGTTCCGAAATTTGGAAAGCCATAAAACGAGTGCTTGCGCCAATAAGAAAGAGGCACGCAACTGCGAACCCCCTTGTCAGGGACAGGGACGTTTCCACAGCCTATAAAATCAAAACGCATGCAGCGCAATGGCGATGAAAAAGGGGTCACCTGATCTCAGATTGATCACATTGTGTCATGTGCGGCTATAAGCTGTGGACCTAGGTATTGGGTTTTACGTGCTAATTTATAGGACGGAAGATTGTAATGACTACAAGTTTATGGATGTGTTGCCCTATCTCCTTACCTAGCCTTATACATGGCATAGATTCATTTTTTGTATGTACTTACGGTTGAACAGATATGTGATCCCCATCTGAACATACCTGAACAGAATATTATTGTTTATATGCCTGTATATATATATATATATGTGCATGTATGTATATGTAAATAAAAAAATATGTGCATGTATTAGTATAAATATGTATATATAAATAATTTACATGTATTTGTATGTTTATATATCTGTATGTATGTATGTATATTTATGTATAAATATATATATATATGTATATACATTTCTGTTTATATACATATATGTACATTTATATATGCATACTTAAATTTGTATTTAAAAATGTATGTATATAAATATATATATGTATGTATATATATTTTGAAATATATGTGTATATATACATTTACATATGTATGTTTATATTTATGTATATGTATAAATGTGATGTTTTTATTTTTTATTTTTATTTTTATAAGTATATGTATATTTCTATATTTGTGAATATATGTATATGTATGTATATGTATTTATATGTATGTATATGTATTTATATGTATGTATATGTATGTATATGTATGTATATGTATATTTATATGTATATATCAGCATATATGTACATAAATGTATTTATATATGTATATAAATGTATATTTATGTATGTATATATATATATATATCTAAATGTAAATCTGTAATTTACCTATGTATATTTATGTATGTATATATATATATATGTATATATATATATATATGTATAAGTATATATAAGTATGACGAACTCAATTTCCCATCGATTCCCTGTAATGCCATTGGTTCCATCCCTGCCGTTTTCAGGAGCTCGACCCAGAGCACGATCCCATGGACCACTTGGAAGGCCAGTCCTCTGACGAGGAGATCATGGATGTGAAGGTGGATCTCGATGAGGACAGAGCGCTGGAGCAGAAGGGGCCCGATGATGAAGCAGCTGCTTCATCCCATGGCCAGGGTGCAATGGATGTTGAAGAAGTGAAGGACCCCAAAGTTGATGCCAAAAATGGCCCTAAAGATTCTTGGTTACTGTAATGATACCTTGCAACTTACACCCCTTCATATTCTCCATAAATTAATTACACACTATACACAGAGAAATCTATCTATCTGGGGCTGCCGTGGTAAATCAATTTATTTGGGTTTACTTTTGTGGGATTCATCAAAAACATTGGGGATGTGTTTCGACATAGAGGCAAAATCAACTGAAATCATGTTTTTATTTGCGCGTGCTTAGGAATCACGTGCTGACCTTGGCGGTGTTCATGCTCCTGGTGTGGAACGTGCGCGTCCTGAAGGGAAATTCCCACCAGGGGTGCAGTGCTACCGAAAAGAGCCACTTGCTGCCAATCCCCTTTTCCAAGTGGTGCTCCCCAATGGCTTTCGGCACGAAGGAAAACAGTCAAGAGGGGTATCATTTGCCGAAGGTGACAATCTTTTTTCTAAGAAAGGCACCAGTCGCACCCAGTCGCAAGCTGAAATGGTTTGCATGAGCTGGGCATGGACATGGTGGGAAAGTTTAACATCTGAACAAAGAAGTGCCATTCAGAGTTCTTTGGCAGAGCCAGCTTCCAAAAAAAGGAAGCAATGACCATGTTCGCAGCTTCCCGGGGGTGAGGGAAAAGGTTTGCATGCCGCTTGATTGCAAGGATTGGTGTGGCTTGGTGATTGAGATTGCATATGAATCTTGAGGTGCAAAAATCTTAACAGAATGATTAGCTATACGGAATGGGGAGTTTACAACTAGAGTGGTGGAATTTCCCCTTCAAGTAACCTCATGATAAAAAACAATCTTCATTTTGTAGCAGTATCATGTTGTCATTTTCCGTAATCCTCTGGAGCTTGAGAAGCATCATTTTATAATGGCTGAGGTTAGGAATTTTGAGACTTTGGTACAAAATGAGGGTCTCGACCCCCATAGGTGAAATTCAAACCGGGATCCCTGACTGATTTTTCACCTCGCAAACATCTCTTGAATCGGGGGGGTGAAGCTTGAATTTTAAGAATGCCTGCTGTGAATTTGTGTAACTCGAACCTTCTGAACTCTTTCATTTCAAACAGTTTGAATCTAACTCATAACCCCATGCGAACAATGATTCTCCAAAAGAACTGCCCTATCTTCTCCAATCATGTCACCTGACTCAGCTACACATGTCGTCATGTGTCCAGAGTCCATGGCCCGACAAAGCAGGACTGTTCCAAGTGCGCAAGAAATCCGAGCAAAATATAGTCTCGTTGACGCCTGTTTCATCCTAAGAAGGTGCTATATCTATATCACTCTATATCTATGTCTATATCTATATCTGCTATGAAGGAACACTTTGACTCATTTGTGGAGTGGGGGATCTGAATGGAATACATTGGCGCACGAATGCGCACGAACCCTTGGATCCCTTTGATTCTTTGGCCATCAGGAGCCTTCACAACGTCAGAGGGCACTGAATTGGATTGCTAACTCGGATGCTCCGGAAACTTGAGGGGATGATGCTTGTGCTATCCATGGCGCATCTACGTCCGGTCGCATGCACTTTGAGAACTTAGCGCGGCATTCACGGTGCATATGATTCTCGCAGGCGCAATCCTTCAGCTAGCAGACTCTGAGACTATGGCTTGAGAGAGATTGCATCCAGCAATTCTTTCGGTCCTTCCAATTTTGCGCACCTGGCTGGACGGTCGGCGAAAGCTTCTGAATTCGATGAGCCCTACAAGCCGTTCAGAAGCAGCTCATAAGCAGTTCATGAGTCCATGAGCAGGCTCTTGCTACAGTATGAGGAGTGGTCGATTCCATCTTGCTCTTGATTTTCTTGCTGTGTACCTCTTCTCATCAGAAACGGCTTCCAAATCTCTGCGTTGCAAAGGCCTGAGTTGCATCCAGCATGGAAGTCAGGCCAGAATGACACCTTTCGCCAAAGATAGGGAAACCTACTAGCATTTCCTCCCCACTCCTCTGTGTAGCCAAGGAAAGCAAGAAAACATCGTCCTCCTTCCTCTGCTCATTTTGCAAACCCAGTCCCTGTTGTTCAGACAGAGGTTCACCTTGAGGACACGCTGCTGAGGACCAAATGTAATGACTCTCTGGCGGTCAGGCCGTTTCAAGTGTCGGGCAATCTGGTGGGGTAGTCCAATGGTAGGCTGGCCAACTACTCTATGCAGCTGCCATCAGTTGCCATGGAATAGCCAACTTGCCCCCAAACCTGGTGCCCATATCTTTCCTGCATTCCAGAATGCGTTTGCCAACTCAACTGGACCAAGCATGTCAAGGACATTCAAGGACTGCATATTGTTGCCCCGCTACTATATGTGATTTCCTGTCATTCGCCACACACAATCGGGTTCATGATTACAAGCCATCTGAAGCGTACATGGTTCGAGGCTTCAGTTCGGAGGGAACCTGTCGTTCCAGACGAAGCTCTTCAGCCAAAAGCGAAGACGACTCTTGAAACAAAACAAAATAAGACCATTGAGACCAAGAAAGCAACCATGTCTTGCTGAAATTGTGGATCATCCTGGATCTCTATACTGCCTAAAGCTAGTGATGCAAAAAGACACAGCAGGAAGACACGAGAGTTGCTTCCAACATCGGACCACTTGACAAAGCCCCAAAGCATCAAGGGCATAAGAGCGCTGTACTGGAACTGGCTTGTAAAGTCCCAGAGAACATTCACGGCTGGGACGATCATGAACAGAACCACTGCTGGAATCACCTAAGTCAATAAGATTGGGCCATCTGTGTCTAAGAGACCGCTTTGCTTCAGAGCAAGGCCTGCAACAACCTTTGTCTTTTCAATTTCATCACTCCGTGGGTCTGTCTTCAATTCACAGGGGGATGCAATATGATGCAACTTCCTTTGGCTGCAGGCCAGCAAGGCAGACAAGCCTTCAAACTGCTTTCCGGCTCTTCGAGACTCCACGAGGTGCTGTCAATTGAAGGCTTGTGGCAAAGGAAACGAACCCATCCAATCAAGCGCAGTGGATACCTCTTCTTCTTGGAATGCAAACGCCACAGCCAGCAGCTTCGCTCGTTCAACTGGCATCCAAATTGGCATCTAACTTGTGCAGGGAAAATCTGTCACCAGCGAAAGGTCATCTGAAGTCATGCTGCTGGGTACTGGTTGCACACGCTGCAGGAGAGAATGTGCCTTGCTTCTTGCAAGGAATCCACGAACCTCTTATTGAAATCGAAGATTTTCTCAAGCTGTTTGTGGCAAACATTCTTCTGAAAGGAAATGCAACAAGATTGTGCGCCTTGCAAGGCAAGCCCATGCCGTGATTGAGTTGAAGCAACACTAAAAAAGCAAACCGGTGACCAAACATGTTCTTTCGAAGCTCTATTCTGAGTAGCTGGTTTTGGACAAAACCATGTTGGAGATTGTTGGAGAAGTATCAATCACACGGAAATCGCTTTAAGAAGTTCCAGCCCGCCACAAAATGCGTGAACCTTTTGCAACTGCTACCCGACTGAAACTGACCGCACTGTACTTGATGGGTCTCTTGCACGCTTGAGGCGCTGAGACTCTGACATCATTTTGCACTGTCACATCATCGATGGAATTGCTCTATGAGAGAAACAACAAATGTCTTCACTCAACACACAAATTTGCCACTCACGGTGGCATACGGTGGCTAGTTTACTGGCGGAATCATCTCTTCCTCACTCTTTCCCTAGCTCAAGTTATGAGGACTGTGTTGACAGATTCCTGCAAAGAATCTTGTACAGGACTGCCATCTGCGCGGCTCGTACGCTGCAGGAGAGAATGTGCCTTGCTTCTTGCAAGGAATCCACGAACCTCTTATTGAAATCGAAGATTTTCTCAAGCTGTTTGTGGCATACATTCTTATGAAAGGAAATGCAACAAGATTGTGCGCCTTGCAAGGCAAGCCCATGCCGTGATTGAGTTGAAGCAACACTAAAAAAGCAAACCGGTGACCAAACATGTTCTTTCGAAGCTCTATTCTGAGTAGCTGGTTTTGGACAAAACCATGTTGGAGATTGTTGGAGAAGTATCAATCACACGGAAATCGCTTTAAGAAGTTCCAGCCCGCCACAAAATGCGTGAACCTTTTGCAACTGCTACCCGACTGAAACTGACCGCACTGTACTTGATGGGTCTCTTGCACGCTTGAGGCGCTGAGACTCTGACATCATTTTGCACTGTCACATCATCGATGGAATCGCTCTATGAGAGAAACAACAAATGTCTTCACTCAACACACAAATTTGCCACTCACGGTGGCATACGGTGGCTAGTTTACTGGCGGAATCATCTCTTCCTCACTCTTTCCCTAGCTCAAGTTATGAGGACTGTGTTGACAGATTCCTGGGAAACTTTGCATTGAAACTTGCCTCGCAACAGGGCTTTTCAATGCAGTAATACTTACAGGAAAAGAATGCAGGAAAAATTCTGTGGCAAGCGCAAAGTATGTCGGCCAGAGTAAGTATCATGCCAAAAATCGATGGACAGTGTCATGCCCTGACTATCCCTGATCACCTCGCAAACATCTCTTGAATCGGGGGGGTGAAGCTTGAATTTTAAGAATGCCTGCTGTGAATTTATGTAACTCGAACCTTCTGAACTCTTTCATTTCAAACAGTTTGAATCTAACTCAAAACCCCATGCGAGCAATGATTCTCCAAAAGAACTGCCCCATCTTCTCCAATCATGTCACCTTTGACTCAGCTACACATGTCGTCATGTGTCCAGAGTCCATGGCCCGACAAAGCAGGACTGTTCCAAGTGCGCAAGAAATCCGAGCAAAATATAGTCTCGTTGACGCCTGTTTCATCCTAAGAAGGTGCTATATCTATATCTATATATCTATATCTGCTATGAAGGAACACTTTGACTCATTTGTGGAGTGGGGGATCTGAATGGAATACATTGGCGCACGAATGCGCACAAACCCTTGGATCCCTTTGATTCTTTGGCCATCAGGAGCCTTCACAACGTCAGAGGGCACTGAATTGGATTGCTAACTCGGATGCTCCGGAAACTTGAGGGGATGATGCTTGTGCTATCCATGGCGCATCTACGTCCGGTCGCATGCAGTTTGAGAACTTAGCGCGGCATTCACGGTGCATATGATTCTCGCAGGCGCAATCCTTCAGCTAGCAGACTCTGAGACTATGACTTGAGAGAGATTGCATCCAGCAATTCCTTCGGTCCTTCCAATTTTGCGCACCTGGCTGGACGGTCGGTGAAAGCTTCTGAATTCGATGAGCCCTACAAGCCGTTCAGAAGCAGTTCATAAGCAGTTCATGAGTATGAGGAGTGGTCGATTCCATCTTGCTCTTGATTTTCTTGCTGTGTACCTCTTCTCATCCCTGACATCCCAGTTCGAATTTCAACTACAGAATGGGAGGCCTTGTGCCCCGTTTCAACGGCATTTCCGCTGATTTTTCACCTCGCAAACATCTCTTGAATCGGGGGGGTGAAGCTTGAATTTTAAGAATGTCTGCTGTGAATCTGTGTAACTCGAACCTTCTGAACTCTTT